ATTTTATTTATTACTCAGCTCTATTTTATTATTAGTCTTGGAAATATTTGAGTTACTTCCCTTTAGAATGATCCCCCTTAGTTTATTTACCCTTAAAAAATAATTAATTAAAAAAATAATAGTAATAAATAAATAAGTTAAAATAATTGAGTTCTTTTATGTAGGTAAAATTTTAAAAATTTGTCAAAGTCATTTTTAGTCAAATCGTCGGTCAACCACAAGTTAGCGGACATTCTGAGGGGCTAACACCTTCTTGGAATGTACATTTGAACTCGAACCCTTTTTCAATTGATTTTATCTGTTCAAGTCTTTTGAAAACCTTAGATTTTTTCTTGATTTTTACTAAAAAATTAAGTGGTGACTCTGTTTCTTTTGGAAATTCGATTTCTCTTAAATCATAAATTTAATTGATTTTTCGAAAACTTAGTCATTTCTTTTATTTATTTTTTTGAGTAAAACAGAAATGATGACTCTGCTGGAAAATTAATTAAGTACTAATCATAAGATTTGACTTATTTGACTAATTGTTATTTGCGCTTAATCTGTTTAAACTGTTATAACTGTCATGGCATTTTCCGTTGTATGTATAGCATATTAAAGGATGATTTTGCAAAACCGCAGCCGGACTTTTTTTATAATCAACCCTTTTCCGAAATGATCGGCAATTTATTAGTTCGTCATACATCCAATGGTTGTCGTGAATTCCAGCTTAAGCTGTCCACTTGGGTTCCCGGTCTTTCAAAAGCCACTCATAGTCAACTAACGTAGAACAAAACCAAATCCCGATTTCTAGCTTATTTTGAACTAAGTCGACCCAACACCCAAGGCGTGTTGGGCCCATTAGAAGCCCACCTTGTGTCTATTTGACCTATTTGCCAATAACAAGACAATCATGCTTATGTGTTTAATTGAAGTATGTATATGTATTTTAAAACAAATCAATTATCTATGGGGGTGGGGGTAACTTACCTATGTCTGTTTTTCTTGTAGGATGATTCCAACACATGAACCTCTGAGAACTCGAATAGTGACCACACCTGATCCTTACCTTCAAGTTTGGTGGAAGTTCATGAACAATGGAGACAGGAGAAGGGTTCAAAGACACATAAGCAATCTCCCGTCACTAATAGAAATGATGGCTTGGCCCGGTTTAATTGGAAAAATGGTAAAGTTTTGGGACATCGACAATATGGTATTTCGGTTTGGGGAAGTGGAAATGATGCCGACTATTGAAGAAGTCCTTGCAAGTTATGAGAGTGTCGACATGTGCAACAAGGGGAAGCGTCAACCCGATACAGATCTTTTTTTCCCCAAAACATGGGATTTTGCCGAAATTAAAGAAAAATTGTCACTCGTCAAAACCAAATGGATGGACAAGCTTCCCGGACAAAACATTCCGCTTAGAAAGCTCTATTATCGATTTGGACGTGCAAGAGCTTACAAGAAATTTAAAAAAGAGTTTGTCTCAAAAGAAAAATGGAAGGAGACACGTCATCTTACCTTTGCAATATGCCTACTTGGGACGATGGTATTTTCCTAGGGACCAAACTACATTATCCATCCAAGTGTAGGAGTGGTCACTCATGCTATCTTTTATGGAGTGGGCTACGGGTTGGCAACCAAGTACTACACTTTGAAGCCTATGATTTTGGCCGACATTTATAAAGCTTTGGACAAGTGTCAAAGCGGCTAATTTTTCTTTCAGAAATGCAACATGATACTTTAATGGTGGCAAATGAGACACTTGATCAAAGCTCATAATCCAGAAGAACCAGATTTGTTAAGACGATCAGACGAACTTGCAGGCCACGATTAGTGGATGTACCATAATCATTGCAACAAAACTGAAGGTCTAAAATTCTGGTATCCGAGACTTCAGGGTTTAAGAGAAGAAAATGTGCAGTGGTCAATAGAATGTCTAGTGGTGACAAAGTAAATGGTGATTCGAGTGCAAATAGTCCCTTACTTGATATTTGTCGGATTAAGAGAAACTAGACCATATGCTCGCGGTTGAGTCCTTACACAACTAGGAGGGAAACAGGAGATTCCCCAAACCGCGGATATGAAGAAATTTGCAACCGATCATGAAAATGGACGAATCTCTTATGTTGAAGACATACGTAGAACATGAAAAACTCGAAGGCTATTAGGTGAGCCGGTACCAAACAGGTTTCGTCCTGAATGTTCTAAGAATTACAAGGAATGGATAAAGAAGAGCCTCGTCGAAACTATCGAGTTTGGTCCGAACGTTTCCCATATTATTGCAAATGTTGGAGCCAAACATCAAATTCGACTTCATCGACTCCAAGAGATGTTTGATAGGAATGAGTTCGAGCATCAACGTCGGCATTCAGAAGATGCCGAAGTCATAACTCAGTTAAAGCAAGAGCTACAAAGAGGTAGACAATGTATGTCAGAATTGGATAAAAGCATGGAACATCAGATTCAGTCGGTCGAGAGGTTCAGGCATCAAGAAAGGGCTCAGTTGGCAAGAGATCACCTATGGGCGAACAAATATGCTATGTGGGAAGAGGTCAGCATCGCCAAAAGGACCAAACTTGGTGAAGGATCAAGATGAGCTTGAAATTTGTTATCATCCCCTGCGTATGATTGCTTTATCTGTACTTTGCATTGTGGTTTACTTTCCAAACTCATTTCCCTAATTTTATGTTTGTCAATTTATGTTTGTCAAACATTTTTGAATGTTATTAATGAAATATTTTTGGGGATAATGAATTGGTTTAAAAAGACATATACATTCTTCAATTCGCTAGTCTGATCTTAGACATATTTATATACCTAAGTAGTCGAAATTGGCCTACGAAATGATGATGTTTGATGACAATCTTGATTTATTAGCTTGAATTCTAGTTTAAATTATTATGATTGCATACTTACACACGTGATTAGTTGTTTCAGGAAATATTGATGGAATGTGGATTGGTAAGAGGGAAGAAGGAGCAAGGAGATGCAGGAAAATGGCTAAGGCAGAAATCACCAATGGCTGGCGCGGCGCGCCACTAATGGTACGTCAGAGAGCATGTTGAGGCGTATTGCTTGGCGCGACGCGCCAGAGAGGAAACCTCTGAGGCACTGCTCAGGCGCTATGCTTGGCGCGACGCGCCAGGAGCAAAATGAAGAAAGAAAGATTGAGGCGCGATAAGGGGCGCGACACGCCACCTGTTCTCCGACTTTTTAAAGTTTTTAACAGAAATTGTATGAACTATAGTATTTTCTTATTTTCTAATAGCATGAGTAGTTAAACGCCTTAGTTCTGGGGCTGTGGCTACGAATTATGTGTTAAATGTTTGAGGTCTTATGAATTGATTTTTGGTTGTCAATCCAAATTACTTCTATATTCTTGTTTTACTATTTTATGCTTGCGCACCATAGAATAAATCTAGTGTCTAATCTTAAAATCGAAAGAGGAGGGATTAGATAAACCAGAGAATATAGAGAGCTCGGTCCACCCATTAAATTGAGGTGATTAGTGTTCAGGAGTGACACCCAGACGAACACCTTGCTTGGTTACGAAATAGGATGAAATATACATGGTCGCCAGTTAGTTTATTTATCCCCGCTCAACGATGTAGTTAGATGGCTAATGGGGTAGGCGACGAGAGGCGAACCACCCGGACCATACCATCAACCCTATAAACCACTAATTTGACAACTGAAGTGAATTCTAAGCCGATTATATGATACATGATATTCATTGGAGGCTGCAGCCCTGGAATTGTTTTTAAACTTGCTTGAACCATATTATATCAAAGTTGTTCATAATTAGTTACTTTCAATTAGTGCATAATTATTAGTAGATACTTAACTAAATCACAATTCTTAAAAAGGTTACTTGGTAAATTTTAGTTGTAGACTTGAGTGAATATAAGTTGATCATAAGTCCTTTGGGAACGATAACTCGTTTCTTGAATAATTGATACTACTTATACGACCACGTACACTTGCGTGTATTTTGGGAGTGACATAGGCCTACCCTTGGCACAAAAGGATCAGATGTATGTTTAGGACACGACATTTGTATGTTTACTTGTGTGCTTTAACTGTTTATGTGGTACGTTGCTTTAAATGAGGACATTTTTAGCCCACCCCTTGTCAAAAAATTTCTGAAAAAATCTCTACAATGCCAAATACAAGTCACTACCAAAGTTTCCGAGTCTTGAGTTTCTCAACCAAAAATAAAACCCTACCACCAAATCCTAAAACATTACTCTATCATCTCAGAAAAGGTAAAATTGCTGCTAAGATGGAAAAAGGCAAGAATGTCGATGTGACTATGAAGCTTGCATCCTCGGTCTGACGATGGCGATTAATATGAACGTTCATGAGCTATTGGTTATTGAGATTCAGATTTGCTAATTCACCAAGTTCAAGGAGAATGGGACATAAAAAACCCAAAGATCACACCGTACGTGCAGTATATACAGAAGTTGTGCAAAAGGTTCCGCAAGATTGAGTTCAGACACACTCCCAGGACACAGCCGATACTCTCTCCACCATTGCCTCGATGATTAAACATCCAGATACAAGTTATATTGATCCAATGGATATAGAGGTAAAAAGAGCAGCATGTCCATTGTTCATATGTTGAAGCAGAACCAGATGGTTTGCCTTGGTATTCTGACATCAAAAAGCATTTAGAGACCGGGACTTATCTAGCAAATGCAACGTTCAACCAGAAGAAATCTATACGTCGTATGGCTAATAATTTCTTTCTAAGCGGGGAAATCTTTTATAGTAGGACTCCAGATCTAGGCCTTCTCAGATGTGTTGATGCTATCGAAGCTGTGAAGCTTCTTGAATAGATACATGTTGGAGTTTGTGGTACTCATATGAATGGACTTACTTTGGAAAGGAAAATCCTTCGAGCCGGTTACTTTTGGATGACTATGGAGCATGATTGTTGCAAGTTTGTGCAGAAATGCCATAAATGTCAAGTGCATGGTGATTTGATTCGAGTGTCACCTCACGAACTCAATGCTATGAGTTCACCTTGGCCGTTTGTAGCTTGGGGCATGGATGTCATCGGTCCAATAGAGTCAGTCGCCTCAAACGGAGCTTGGGGCATGGATATCATCCGTCCAATAGAGCCAGCCGCCTTTAACGGACACAGATTCATTTTGATTTTTATTGACTATTTCACCAAGTGGGTAGAAGCAGCTTCGTATAAGTCGGTGACCAAGAAGGTTGTAGTTGATTTTGTTCGTAACAATTTAATATGTAGGTTTGGAGTACCAGAATCCATTATCACCGATAATGGAGAGAATCTCAATAGTCACTTGATAAGAGAGATATGTAAACAATTCAATATTATTCACCGGAACTCAACCGCCTATCGTCCCCATATGACTAGAGCTGTAGAAGCCGCCAACAAGAACATAAAGAATATTCTGAGGAAAAAGATTGACAATCATAGAGGTTGGCACGAGATATTGCCAAATGCTTTGTTGGGATACAGAATGATTGTCAGAACGTCAATTGGAGCTACTTCATACTTGTTAGTATATGGAACAGAAGCAGTTATACCTGCCGAAGTTGAGATACCTTCCTTGAGAATTATCCAAGAAGCTGAATTGAGTGATGTAGATTGGGTTCGCAAGCGGATTGATCAGCTAACATTTATTGATGAGAAAGATAATAATTGATGTTTGTCATGGTCAACTTTATCGACAGAGAATGATTCGTGTTTTCCACAAGAAAGTAAGAGCCAGGATATTTGAAATCGGTCAGTTGGTCCTTAAATGCATTTCCCCCCATCAGGATGAGTACAAAGGGAAATTCGCACCAAATTGGCAAGGACCCTACATGGTTCGCAAAGTGTCATCTGGAGGTGCCTTGGTCCTGTCGGAAATGGATGGCACCGAATGGCCAAAACCGATCAACTTATATGTTGTCAAGAGATACTATGTATGAAGTTTCAGTATGTTTTTCTGTTACTTCCTTGTAATCATTTTATTGGCTTGTAATTGCTTGGTTTAGAATTTTATCCCTTCTGTAATGAACTACGTCTGACCTGAATTCTAAAGAATGAGATACGTAGGCGGCCTACGCGGCCTCGGTCACCCTTTTATCCCCTCTTAATATTTCTTTATTCTTAAACTACGTTCGACCTGAATTATTAACAATGAGATACGTAGGCGGCCTATATCGGTCTCGATCGGCTCCTTGCTTTATTTTCCTATTTTTGTTAATCCTCGAGAAAGGGGAACTATGTTTGACCTGATTCCTGCCTCAACGGGATACGTAAATACTACAACGGCTCGGTCATTTCTACTTTTCTTACAATTGAAACTAGGACAGAATTTTTGAGAGGGACTCAAAAAGCTTAAGAAGAAAATCATTTCAACGAACCAAGACTGAAGTTACTTTGAAATTTGCAACTAGGTCAGAATTTTTGAGAAGATCTCCAAAATTCCGTGATTTGCTCACCAACAGTTCAAGATAAGCCAAGACAGTTAACTAGGACAGACATTGTTTAGGATGACCTCAAATTTTCAATAAGGTTCATCGAGAGTTTAGAACAACTTTGAATACTTCCCAAAAAATAATCAGATAGACCTCGACGTATCAACCTCAAAGTTGTTCGCTAAAGCTCGACGTGACATGACATTAGGCAGCGACCTTTTCCAAATATTTCTTTTTTGAAAATATATTTTTCTTAAAACTTTTCTTTCGTGTTTAAATTATTTTGCATAAATATGTATTGTCTTATCTATCAAGAAGCGGGAGATCAGAAAAATCAACTGGAGATAGTCAGACAAGGAGCAAACAATCGAAGAGATCGACATAGATTAGTTCATTTTTTAAACTAACAATTTTTCTGTGGATGCAAGTCTATAAGTTTGCCTCAAGATCATCATATTCCTCCATTCAACGAATATGGAGAAGTCAAAAAGGCGAGGAGCTCCCCAAAATTGATAATTTTTCTGTGAATGCATGAAATATTTTATGTTTCTTAAATCAAAGAATTAGGAATATAAATAGCATTATTTCATTCAATTCTCAGCAAGACAAAATTTGTAATGGACATACAAGTGTGTTCAGAGATAGAACAAATGAAAACCTCGAAAAAAGAAATATTGTTGTTTTCCAGCAACTAAAGACACCTGGAGGACATTATTTGTATCACATTATCAGAGATGATAATATTACTACACAAAGAGTCATCTATATTGTATTGTCAAATGAGATGATACCAATATCCGGAGGGTCATTTATATTGTACTATCAAACGAGATTATACCAATACTCAGAGGGTCATTTTTATATTGTCAAATGGGACGATACTGCCACCCAAAAAAATACCCAGAAGATCTCTTATGTTGCTCGGTGAAGCAGTGTCTTCGTTCAGTATTGGGGACGACATTATCAAAAGATTCATGCATTGCAAGAGAAGACTCGTGCATCGCAGAGAAAGAAATCATACATTGCAAAAGAAAGAAATCGTGCATGGCAAGAGAAGAAGGTCATGCATAGCAACAGAAAGAGGTCATGCATAGAAAGAGAAAGAGGTCATGCATAGCAAGAGGAAGAAGTCATGAGTCGCAAAGGAGGATTCATACATAGCAAGAGGAAGATTCATGCATAGCAAGAGGAAGAAGTCATGCATAGCAAGAGAAAGTCATGAACTGCGAGAGAAAAGAGTCATGCATCGCAAGAGAAAGATTAACCCATCATAAGAAGATCAACATCGGCTGCATCATTTTCTCTGCAAAAATAAAATCAAGAGAACCACCAACAACGGCATAAAGAGAACTATCAACATATTACATCAACTTATTTTATTACTTTAACATTAAAGGAAGAGTACATTGAAGATTACATTGCAAATATGAAACACAAGCTTTATTTGTTTTACGTCAAACCCGATGAAGTTGACGTCAAATGTTTAAAGAGAGAAACTAAGTGTCAACACGATAAAAGACACTATCTCTCCATTTGAATTATATTTTTATGCTAATCAGCTTTATCTCAGTCTTTGTCAAGAGCATCCGAGAGGATGAATTCTCAAAACAAACCACAGGTGTGGATGACATCAAAAAGGATGCAGCACAACGTGAAACTTTTTTCTTAAGCAGCAAACTGGGACATAGTCCAATGAGGAGTGCCAAATTTTTAGGACGCGAGCAGAAGAGCGACTTCCACCACAATCAAACCACATCCCTATCAGAAGGCATGTGGGTTTATCTTTGGGTTTGTCGATTTCAGTTTCGCATCCGGAAATTTTATCTCTATCGAAAGCAACTTTCCCAATCTAAGTGACAATACACTAAGAGCTTTGGAAATTATGTATGTATAAGTTATTAATTATGGGTGTGAAGCACGCCACATTCATAGCTAAGAGGTTGCAAGCCTCCTTTTAATACTCGACTTACTTTGTCACTTTTCCAGAACCAAAGGTGATCTAGTATAATAGATTTCCTTTTCACCCAATTGAGTCGAACTACAAGCAGCATGATTCCCTATGTTGATGGATATGTAGGCGGGATCAATATTGAAAACTCGGTTGTATTCCAATATTCGCTCTTAAATCTTTTTCTCAACCATTTTGGTACTTCCATAATTCGATATAGGGATGACTTTTGAATTCTTTTAAAATTGTGTGTCAAATCAAGCGTACCGAACTACATTTGGCCTGAATTATCATATAGTCTGAGATATGTAGGAAACCCACTTTCGGGGTTCAGCCATAATTCCTAAGGTCCGTACCAAATCCCTTTTCCAAGGATGAAGATGTGGTCGATCAAAATTGGATTAGTCGATTTCATTTTCCTCAAATTTCTTGCATCAATCCAAGTAAAATGAGAGACAGTTGTTGATACCTAATTTTGACCCTCCCCGATAGAAATTAATATGCGAGCTTCTTAATTTCCAAACGATTTAGAATAATTAGTTTCATAAAATTCAAATACTTTTCAAAGTCATTTTAAGTAATTTTAGTCGATTTTATAGTATTTTATAATTATATATGAAATCAGTGTTTCTTAAATATTCGAAAGTCGTTTCAAAAAGATTTTATTTTTATTAAATCTTCAATTGAGTTAATTGGGTTTAAAGCATAATTATAATTTTAAATTATTTAGCTTATTGGTTTAATTATTTTATTTCGTTGATTTTGAGAAGCTTGTTAATTAATTAATTATACTTCATCGTGTTTAAAGTTTAGCCGGATTCACTAAATTAGCTATATTTTGAATCCTAGCAATTTAAGTGGTCATTTTCCTATTACAAATCTAGCCCTCTTGACCTTTAATCCCATCCAAATTTCAGCCCATACTTTCTCATCAAATCCCCAGACCACTCATTTATTATTAACCCAGCCCACTATCAATTTTTTTAATACAACAACATAACAAAATTGGTCCATTCCAGCAGCAACATACGCATACCACCTGACCCTGGGCGTTCTTCTTCTTCCTCCAGTAGTGAGCGAAACCCAGAACTCTACGCAACAAACCCAATCGCAAAATCGGCCCAGCGATCCAGCGAGAACAAACCCAAATTGCAATCCAATCCAGCGAATCAACCCAAATCCAGCAGTAGCTCACAACGATACATGGCATCAAAAGACGATTCCAGCTAAACGACAACAACAACGGACACATATGAAGCAATTCGAGACGAAACAATACACGGTGACTTCATGCCGTGTACCCGCGCAGGCAGTACACTGCAAATTTTGTCTCTTTCCTCCCATCCCTCTCAATTCGCAGACGCAGCAGTAAAGCATTTCATGCTTTCGTCCTTGTGACCTTGAGATGGATCCACGTCGCTCGCCAAGGACATTGGAGTTGATCTGAGTCATCGATTCCCCCTTTCCTCCTTTTCTCTTTCAAAATTAGGTGAAATTTTTAGAGAAAATGTGTTTATCCTGAGTTGTGAAAGAATTTTTGAAGTTTGAATTTGAAATGGGCCTCGTTTCTACCCATTTTTCATCAGTTTCCCCCCAACTTTGGAACCCTAGCTCCCCTTTATATAACCCACTACTGTTTCGGTACGAGGGGTTGGAAAATTTTGAGTTAAGAAAAAAGGGTAAGAAACAGTGAAATACATACGTTTTCTTTGAGGCTAAAATAGACACTAAAATCAACAAGTATTTAAAGAGCATCTCGTTTCCATTTTATTCTTCCAAACACGACCCTCCCGCTGCTCGTTAGAACTTTCTAAGTTGCTGGTGGTGGAATAGAACACTCTAAGCTCGTCCTGTCTCAATTCCTGCTCGACCAAAAGGTAAAGGTCTTTATCTTTTATGCTCTTTCCCATCTTCAAAATGAGACTTTTGTGTGTTGTTTGCTTGATATTGGTTGTAAGTTCCGTCTTGAGTGTATTCAACTCTTTGTGTTAGTGTAATCTTTTTTCGTTTTGTTTCCTTCTAATCATGACAGCAAGTAGGGGTTGAATGCTAGTGAAATTTTTACTTAGTATGCTACGGTGTCGGTTTGATTCATTGGCTCATTGTCTTATTTGCATAGTAATTTGGTTGGCTCTGCTCTTAATAGTTTAACGTTTTGGTTAAAATTCGAACAACATAAGTTGTGTCACTTGGTTTCTCCACTGTATATTTTTTTTTTTACTTTTAGTTAACACAACATGAAATTAGTTGCTATCTGGATGACTTGTTTTTGTTCTTTCCCTTGATTATATA